CCAGAGAATCTCAGAACTGGAAGACACCTTAGAGACCACCTGGGTCTTCCCCCTGCCCCTTTGTCAGCTATGATAAAGTGGGGATTCTTTTTTTTCTACTTACACATTCATGTTAAGGATATTTTCACATTAGTCATGACGTATAGAAGAATTAGAACTGAGAGGAACCATGAGAAAGAAGAAATAAAACAAAACAAAAGAAACGGAGAGCAAATAATATGCTTCCATCTACATTCAGAATGGGGAGTCTTTGAAATTCAGATTGGACTAGATGAGGTCCCCTCCGTCTCTCAAGTTCTGTGAAACAATTTGGTAAAGATTATACAGAGAACCCATATGTACAAAAATATTTATAGCAGCTCTTTTTGTGGTGACCAAGAATTGGAAATAGAGGGGATGCTCATCAGTTGGGAAATGGCTGAACAAATTGTGGTATATGAAAGTAATGGAATACTATTGTGCTATAAGAAATGATGAGCAGGCTGACTTCAGAAAATCCTGGAAAGACTTGTATGGACTGATGCTGAGTGAAACGAGCAGAACCAGGAGAATGTTATACACAGTAACAGCCTCATTGTGCAATGACTAATATTGATAGACTTAACCCTTCTCAGCAATACAAGGATCTAAGACATCTCCAAAGGTCTCATGATGGAGAATGCTATCCACATCCAAAGGAAGAACTATGGAGTCTGAATGCAGATCGAAGTATACTATTTGCTGTTTTTTCCTTCTGTTTTGTTTTGTTTCCTCCTCTGGTGGTTCTAATTCTTCCTTACAACATCACTAATGTGAAAATATGTTTAATAGGAATGTACATGTATAGCCTATATCAAATTGTGAGCCATCTTGGGGAGGGAGGGGGAGAAAAATTTAAAATTCAAAAGCTTGTGGAAGTGATTTTTTTTTTTTGTGAGGCAATGGGGTTAAATGATTTGCCCAGGGTCACACAGCTAGTGAATATCATGTGTCTGAGGTCGGGTTTGAACTCAGGTCCTCCTGATTCCAGGGCCAGTGCTCTATCTACTGTGCCACCTATCTGCCGGAAGTGATTGTTGATAAATCAAAATAAATTATTAAAAAATTTCAAAGAAAAAAAGATTATATAGAGAAACACTGATGTAGGCAGGACTAGGAAATTGTTTTTGTTCTGTTCAGTCATTTCAGCCATGTCCGACTGTTTGTGACCCCGTTTGGGGTTTTCTTGGCAGAGATACTGGAGTGGTTTGCCATTTCCTTCTCCAGCCCATTTTGCAGATGAGGAACAGAGGCAAACAGGCTTAAAGGACTCACCCAGGGTCACTCAGCTAGGAAGCGTCTGAGGCAAGATTTGAACTCAGAAAGATGAGTCTTCCTGATTACATGCCTGGCACTCTGTGCACTATGGCGCCCCCTAGTGGCCAAAGACTAGGACCTAGTCTCTAAACTTCTAGTCTGGAGCTCTTTGCCTTGTGCTCTGCTGCCTCTTGGCCCCTCTGGTTCCCTGACTGTGGCCATTTCCTCAGCCCTGAGTCCTTTTGGCTTGATCTGTACCAGGGATCTCCTCCACTCAAGGCTCTCCATGCAGATGACCTCCCCCACCACCCCTGCCCTAGCTGCTCCCCTGAGCTCCAGACCCACATTTCCAAAAGTCCAAACAAAATTACTCCTGAACGTCCTAAATGTCCCGCTCACCATCAAACTCCTCCATCTGAAACCGAACCAGTTCGATTCCTGCTCTGAGCTTTGTCCTGCTTGCTCATAGTGTCACCGCCCTCCCAGACCTCCAGGCACAGCTTCCTGGGCTTGTTTGACTCCTTCTCTTCCCTTGCCTCCAACATCCAAATCACTTTCCCTTTGCAGTGAATGTCTCTGGTATCTTTCCCTCCTTCTATATCCCCATGGCCCCCACCTTAGTCTAGGTCCTCATTAGTTCTCATTAGGATTACTATAATGGACTCCTCTATTCTCTCTCCCCCTCTACAGTCAGTCCTACACACCACTGTTGGATTCACCATCCTGAAGCACAACTCTAATTATGGCATTCCCCTTCTCAAAAGCCTTTGATGGCTTAGTGCCTAGAGACTAGACTATAAAGTCTGGCCTTCAAGGCCCTCCACAATTCCATCTCAGCCTGCCCTCCATTTTATTTCTTACTGCTGCTCTCTACCCATGCTAAGCTTCCCATCTTTTCCTCCTTGTTCATACTATCCACTCTGCCTGGAATGTCTCCCAGCTCTCTACCTGCAGTCATGGCCCATTACATTCCTACCTGCCTAGCCACTTAATCCAGGAAAGCCTCCCCTGATCTCCTTTATCAAGCAAGGTTCTCTTCCTCCCTCTCCAGCGCTTTATTAGCCCTTTATTGCACCTTTCTACAGGCACAGATCCCTCACTTCCCCTATGCCTTGGTGGCTTATCTTTGTACCAGTCAGGCCTACGCAATTAGATTAGGAGCTCCCAGAGGGTAGGGACTGATTTTTATCTTTTTGTATACCTAGGCTCAACTGTAGGTATTGATTGGGGAAGGAAGGAAGGAATAGACATGAAAGAAGAGTTGAATAATAATACAAGTGTTTACTATTGTCCCACAAGAGAGACTAGAATGTAACTCATAAAGATCCTGTGATATCATCGTAAGATCTGGAAGAGATCATGGAATGTCAAAGCTAGGAAGGATGTTAGAACATGGAATGTCAGAGCTAGGAAGGATGTTAGAACATGGGATGTCAGAGCTAGGAAGGATGTTAGAACATGGGATGTCAGAGCTAGGAAGGATGTTAGAACATGGGATGTCAGAGCTAGGAAGGATGTTAGAACATGGGATGTCAGAGCTACGAAGGATGTTAGAACATGGGATGTCAGAGCTAGGAAGGATGTTAGAACATGGGATGTCAGAGCTAGGAAAGATGTTAGAACATGGAATGTCAGAGCTAGGAAGGATGTTAGAACATGGAATGTCAAAGCAGGCCTTAGAATACAGAATAACAGAGCTGGGAGGGGCTTTTGAGTTTCTCACAGGTGGGTGGGACCTTGGAAACAGGATGTCAGCACTGGGAGGGGCCTTAAAATAGAGACTGTTAGAGCAGGGCTGGCTCTCCAGCCCTAGAATGTCATTGCTGCAAGGGGACCAAAGACATCATTTAGTCCAACGGTATTATTTTCTAGTTGAGGAAACTGAGGCCACCCAATCATCCTTATCAGAGGCTGAATTTCCTCCCTGTGCTCCACCTTAACTTGGGCTGGCTGAAGAAAGCTTTCTCTTTCCTGATAGCTGTTGTTTCTCTCCAGCTGTTTAAAAGCAGTCCTGCTGTGCCCAGGCTGGTCCTTGGGCCCTCCCACCCACAAAGGCAGAAGTTGTTTCACTTGCAGGAGCTTTCTATCACTGCCTGAAAGCTTCTTACTTTCCTTTCCCATCTGTATACTAACCCCTGCCAGTGCCATTGCAGAGGAAAAATACCTCAGACCAGGAAGAATAGGATGAAAGACTGGCCATATGTCAGGTGACAGCTGCCCCCTCCTCCTGCCCTCTGTCCTCCCAGGGTCAGCCCTACAGCTATTCTAGCCCCCTGATTCTGGTTCTTCAGAGAAGGTCTGGCTTCAAATATTCCTAATTCTCCTCATTAACTGCTTTTATGCTCCAGGTATTTACCCAGTCCCTCTGGAATCTAGGGTACCTTTTGGCTTGTATTATCCCAGTGCTTACTTCCTGATGCAACCCTGGACCCAGGCATACAACAGTGTCATTCAGGTAAAGATCACAACTAGTCCAGAGGGATCAGTCCTCCAAAGATGGAGAGATGACTCCCTGAGCACAGGATATAGTCACTGTCTCCAAACAGCTCCCCCTGAGATCCCAAAGGCATCATCTGTTCATGAAGTGCCACCACACCCACTGAAATGAAATCCAGAGAGAGCGGGGCCAATGGCAGGCTGAGGTTTCCTCCAAATGCCCCCATTCTCTCATCTCTCCTGGAAACAACATAGCTCTGGACCTTGGCTGGTTTCCCAGGCAGCTTCCTGCCCTCTTAGCCCTCTCCACCAGGCCCCCATTTGGGCTACACCCTAATGATGTTACCCATAAAGGTAAAATCAGAGATTCCATGTTGTACATGTTGAACTGAGAACATCCTCCTAAGCCTTCTCTCCTCCCCCTGCCACCCCTCTCCCAAACAAACACCTTTAAAAAACAGATCTGAAAGCCTGCAGTCACATGTGGCCACATATCTCTTCCAGTAATGGAAGCAGCCTGCTGCCCAGGGATAATCCCAAACTGACAAGAAAAACTACCATGTCCACCCCTTATGCTTGAGGCCTGACCATTTTTCTGGAGCTAAGAAGGCCTGGCCTGCAACCTGAATTGAGTATCTCAGGGCTCCATTGATCATGACCCTTCCTGCTGTCATGCCCTGTGGTTGCAGGGGTTGGAGGGTTTCCTGGGTGTTTGCCTCAAGCAGGGACTTGAGGAGTGCAGTCAAAAGGAGTGGGCACCTAAGGGTTACCCCTTAGGGGAGCTAAGCTGTGGGCAGAGGAGAGTTTAAAGAAGGGAGGTGCCCAGAAAGGGGGGCACAGGTCGATTCTTTATGCTCGGCCATTGGTCAGCTGGGGCGTGAAGGGAACAATTTGACGAGAGGGTGCCAAGAGTTTGGGTCTGGACCTGCCCTCCCTGCTATTTTCCCCATAGCTGCCACTAGTGGGGCCAGGGGAGTCTGAGCACAGCAGCCCCGCTGGTCTGGATTAGCCAAACGGGATTAGCCCCGGAGGCTGGGGTTGAGTGCCAGGCATGGGGGGCGCCAGCCTGGGGAGGTGACCCTATCTTCTCCCAGCTGCCCCCTCCCCCTCCCCATCTTTGTTCCTCCCGGGTATAGCGGGCGGTGGCGGTGAACCAGTCTCTAGCACCACCACCCCCGGACAGTTCCCGGCGCAGCGCAGTCCAGCCCAACCCAACCCAATCCAAAGCTGCGCAGCTGAGCCCAGCGCAGTCCGGGCGCTGCGGGGCTCCGGCTCTGGCTCGCACTCACCTCTTGGGCGCGGGTGAGGTCACGGATCCTCTCCATCACCCCCGGGCTGGGGGCCCACGTGCCTGCTTTCCTTGTGGCCTTCCTGCCTGGCGCTCTTGTAGTCCTCGATGCCTCTCGTCAGCGCCGGAGATAGACTGATAGACAGCCGGAATCGGGAGAGCCCAGGGCCCAGCCCAGCCCGGCCCAGCCCGGCCCGGGAAGAGCTGGGGCAGGCGGGCGGGGCGGGCAGAGAGCTCGCTTGCCTGCCTCTCTCCCCGACTCCTCCTCCCCCACCTTCACCCCTCCCCCTAGCCACCTCTCGCTATAAATAACACTAATCGTCTATAGCCAGCCTGGCTGGACGCTCTCGGGGCCCCAGCCTGAGCGCAGTGGAGCGGAGGGGTGCAGGGGCTGGGTCACCAGGTGACTGCTGGAGCCCGGCTGCGAGGAGGCAAGGCGGGGCGGGGCGGAGGTGATGGTGTAAGGGGAGCGGAGAGGGGGTGGCTCGTGTGTGCGTGCGTGGGGGAAGGGGAAGTGGAGGAAGCCGAAGGGGTGAGGGCGACTGCAAGCCCTGTACCCCCAGGAGCCCGAGCGCTGCGCCCTGCGCTGGGAGCCGCCTGCTCCCCCCTCCCGAGCCCAGGCAGCGGCTCCCCACCTCCCCCAATCCCAGATTGGGCGGGGCCGGCCACCAGGAGCGGATTGCTGCTTGAGCAGCCCAATGGGAGCCTGGGAGTGCGAGACGGGGTGGGGCTAAATCCCTCAACCCCTCTTTTTGCTGTCCCCCTCCCCTTTTAGCTTTCTGCAGCCCCAGGCGCTAGATTGTAGCTCTCGTTTTCCGTGGGCTGCGTGGGGAACGGGTGCTGAAGGGTGGGATGGAGGGGAGGCGTTCAGAGGCAAGGCAAGCAGGCTAGGAGGCGGGGGTGGTGGTGGTGGTGGTGGTGGCGGCGGGGAGGAGGTTTCGGAGACATGCGAACTCACGTCCCCTCCAATACCAGGGAAGACGCAGCGCTTTCCCGGCAGGCCATGGCAGGATTTTACTGTCTTTCCTCCCTCCCCTCTGCCCGCCCCACTCCACCCCACTTTCTTTTAGTGTCTAATCAACCTGTGTTAGAGATTCTGAATATCAGAGCTGGTATAGACTTAGAGACCCACTAGTCCAACCCCTTCATCTGCACAGAAGAAAACTGAAGCCCAGATTGTGGAAGAGACTTGTACAAGGTCACACAGCCCAGCAAGGACGAGAAGCCAACCCTCCCACTTCAGTCCAGTGCCCTTTCCCCAGGACCAACTGCCGTTTCCAATTAGGACTCTGCCAGACCAAGCCAGGCTTTCAGGATGATTAGCGTTGAGTTAGCGTGAGGCTCCCTCATTCCACTGAAACTGCTCTCTCCAAGGTTACCGACAACTTCTAAAATCCAGATACCTTTTCCCAGTCCTCCTCCTCGAATTTTCTGTCCGCTAGCCCTCCTCCTGGATTCTCTTGCCTCTCTTGGCTTAGATGGCATGTCTTTTTCCTTTCCCACATCATACCTGTCTGACCTTTTCTTTCATGGGCACCTCCATGAAGCTCTGTTCTGGACCCTCTTTGCTTCGCTGTATTTTCTCCTTTGGTAGTTCACTTCAGTGGAGATTTCTGTGTAAAGAATTGTTAAATCTATATATTCTACCCTCATCTCTTTCCCAATCTCCAGCCCCCCATTGCCATCCACCTACTGTATGTATTTCTGCTTGTGTGTATGCTAAACGTCTTATACATGGCCAAAGCAGAACTCATTATATTTCCCCCCAAACCCATCCTGCTTCCACACTTCCTTCTATATACTGAGGGTCCCACTAGCCTTTAAGTAACCCAGAAGGGCAGCATTGGCTTCATCCCGGATTCTTCTCTTTCCCTTAATTCCCACAGTCAGTCATGGGCCATCTTTCCCCCCTTCTTCCTCCTCCTTTCTCCTCCACTCACGATGGTAGTTGAAATCTTCATCACCTCTTACTCAGGCTGCTGCAATAGGCTCCCAATTGGTCTGCTTCCTAGCCACTTTCCTCTCCAAATCGTCCTCCATTCAGCTGCTCAATTGATATTCTTAAAACCCAGATCTGACCACTCCACTACTCAAAAATCTGCTGTTGCCTCTAAAATAAATTACCAGCTCCACAGCCTGGTGTGTAAAGCATCCCACAATCTGCTCCTCTATGATTTCAGCTTTATTTCAGACTCCCTTCCTCCCTTCATTCTCCATTCCAGTCAAACCACTCTGCTACCTGTTCCCCATACCCAGCATTCAATTAGTTCCCCTTCTGCCTCCCTCCCTTTGCACAGGCCTCCACCCTCTCCTCATATCTGGAATGTCCTCCCTTCCTTCCTTTCTTCCAGCCTGTCTTCTTCCCTTTTCCCCTCCCTCCCTCCTTTCCTCCTCCCTCCCTCCCTCCCTTCCTTCCTCCCTCCCTCCTTTCCTCCCTCCCTCCCTCCCTTCCTTCCTTTCTTCCTTCCCCTCTCCTCCCCTCTTTCCTTCCTTCCTTCCTTCCTTCCTTCCTTCCTTCCTTCCTTCCTTCCTTCCTTCCTTCCTTCCTTCCTTCCTTCCTTCCTTCCTTCCTTCCTTCCTTCCTTCTTCCTTCCCTTCCTCCCACCTGTGACATTTCAGGATTTCTGTACCTATGGTATTCTGTGCCCCCACCTGCCAGAGTATTTGTATGGGGAGGGAAGACTGCCCATAAAATAGTTCCTGTGGACAGGATGGGTACTTTGGAAAGGAGCAAGCTCCTGGGGCTGCCTGACTCCCACCACACCCATTTTGCCCATGACACAAAGATAGCTCATCGCCATTCTTCTGGCTTCCCCCAGGTGATTTTGGGCAGCTGGTTGGCTTTGGCTCTCTGCCTGTCACCTTGATAAGCCTTCTCAGGGACAGAATTTCCTGACTTCATACAAGTCTGAGAACCTGAGGCCTGTAGAAGTCCCTACCTTGGTGACAGTCACTCCCAGTGTGGAGAAGCTGGGCTCTAGATGCGTAGCTCCTCAAGAGGACAGATTAAAGGATCATAGCACTCTGAAACCATCTAGTTCTACCCCACCCATTTTACAGAGGAAGAGACTGAAGCCCAGGGAAGGGAAGTGACTTTTCCAAGGCCAACACAAGAGCTAAGGTGCAGAGGCAGGGTGTGACCACATTCAACTTCCTTTCAACCCTCCCCCCCTCCCCAGTGCTGTGAACTACAGGGAGCCAATGCTCTTGGCAGGAACGTGAGTCAGCAGGAGAACAGTCTGCTCCTCAGCCAGCTCTCTGCACTCAGTCTCCCTGGCAGGCCTGCAGGCTGGATTCCCTCGGGACTGGCCTTCCCCCTTCTGAGAGCATTTTAGGGGCAGCTGAGGCCAGGCCAGTAAACTGCCTCAGGAGCCCAGGTCTGCCTTGGCTCTTTTAGACTCTCCCCAATCTCCTTCAGCTCCTGGGGCCCTCCTGGTTCATCTCCAGATCTGGAGCTCCATGGGAGCAAAGACTTCCTCTTGTCTAGATTGATTAACTTTGCTAGTCCCCCAGCTCAGTGCAATGCTCTGAATACACACAGTATGTGTGCCAGGGATGTTCCCTGCACCTGGACTGCTCTCCTTCCCCTCTGCCCCTTAGAATTCTGAAGAAATGTTCAGAGAACCAGCCAGTCAACCAGCATTTATTATATGCCTCCTGGATGCCAGGTACTGCCCTAGGTCCTTGAATGAATGAATGGTGTCTGTTCCAGCACACTGGCACAGAACCTTTTCTTAGGCTGTTTGTTATGCCTAGAATGCCATCCCTCTGGATTCCAATCACAGAATTCCTATGGGTCCTTTACAGGCCACTCCATCGCTCCGTTCTCCAGGGAGCCTACTTTGATCCCCGCAGTTGGAAATGACCTTCCTTCAAGGGCTCCCCATAGCTCTTAGTTCTGTGTGTCTCTAATGCCCTTATCACGTATTAACGAGTATTATCATCATCAGTGTTTATGTCTTATCCACCCCCTCCCCCTCCCCTTGCAGGAACCGCATCTTATCTAAACCTTGTATGTTCAGCGGAATGCTATTAGGTGCCTAATAAATGTAGAATTGAATTGCAGCAATAGCAGCAAAGACTGACTGTAGTGAGAGACATGGAGCGTGGAGGACCCAAGTTGTGAAGGTAGGGTTGGGCCAGCTTGTGGGGGGCTTTGAATGGCATGTAGCAGGAGGGAGACCCTGGCCCTTCTGGAGCAGGATCCGATCTTTTCTCACAGTGGTGTAAAGTGTGAATTCGTGGTGGCGGGAGGATGTTGTTTCTTCTCTCCAGACCTTGATGACCCCTCCCTCCTCCCCAGCATGTCACCCATCTAGCCATCCAGCTGCCGTGTCTGTGCCGCCTCTCTCTGTTCACACAGCCCCCCACCCTAGTTCAGGACCCCGTCACCCTCTACCTGGTCTCCTGCCACTCCCACCCCGCCCATGCTCCACACACTTGCCAAATTGGCTTCCCTAAAGTGCGGTTCTGATCCAAGGTCCTTCTCAATAAACTTCAGTGACTCCCTAGCACCTTGAGGGTCAGGTACAAATTCTGTAGCGTCTAAGGCTCTTTGCCACCCAGCCCTAGCCTGCCCCTTCATCCTCACTGCCCACTGCTCCCCTTTGTCCTTTTACTGCTCCTTAGATGCAACGCCTCACCTCCCGCCTCTGGGCTTTTGCAGTGCTCTCCTTCTGCTCTACGCATGAAGCCTTTCCTAACCTTCCCAAAGTTGCTAGTGCCTCCACCTCAAAATTACCTCGTATTTATATTTATTTCGCATGTATTCTGCATATAATTCTGTATGTCTATGTGATTTCTTCTGATAGAATGTAAGCCCCTTGAGGGCAGGGCCAGTTTTATTCTTTGTATCTCAAGTATCTGACACATAGTCATCACTTACTAACTTGTTTTTGGTCTGATAATGATGGGAAGAACTGGCAGGAAGTATTGTAATAATCCAAATAGGTAATCATGAAGGCCTAAATCAGGGTGAGGACTGTGGGAGGGGAGAGATGCCAGAGGGGAGAGATGTTATGGAGGTGGAAACGACTGGACTTTTGATAACAACTACTTGGATGTGAGAGGTAATGGAGAGGGAAGAAGACTCAAAGAGCCCCAGCTTTTGAATGTGGGCAGCCAAGTAGACAGTGCCATGGCTGGCAAATTCAGAAAGATGAGTTGGATTGAGGGCAGGATGATCAGCTTGGTTTTTGATGGGACTTCCAGGTGGAGATGTCTGCTTCCCAGCTGGAAATGTGAAACTGAGAAGAGGGGTCCAGATTGGAGGTCTAAGTCTGGGCGTCTCTGTGTGGATGGGGGAGATGGCGCCACGGGAGCAGAGGAGATCACTGAGGGAGGCCACAGGGAGAGTGAAGGCAAGAGGAGCGAGAGACTGGAGGAATTTGATTAGAACACCTCCTGCGCTCCTCTCTGGCTCCTGGTTGGAGCTGATTTATACAGGCTTTGGTTACCACTTGGTTCAGGCTTGTGGGGAAGATGTGGGTAGACAGCAGTTTGTGTGAGAGAGATCACAGAATCTCAGAGCTGGAAGGGGCCTTGTGGCTTAGGCCAACCTGGATCAGAGCAGGAATTCTCACTAATTACAATATCCCCATAAGC